TATATATTTATATATGTGTGTGTGTTTGTGTGTATATGAATGATATACAGTATTATTTTACATGCTTTGGGTACATAAACGGCATTACACTATAAAGGCCATTCTAAAAGGTACTTTTCTCATTCAAGATTTATATTCTATCCATGTCGGTATAAGTAAATATAGGTGTGTTTTTTAAGTGCTATAAAGTACTCTAGTGCATGCATTTATCCCATTTTATTCATCAAATTATCTAGTGGTATGCAAATAAAATTGTTTCTATTTTTTACTTTTATAAACGAGGCTGCAAAAAAATTTCTTATCTATGTTTTCTTTAACATGTATGCTAGAGTCTCTCCACAGTATATACCTACAAACAGAATTTCTAGGTAACAGAATAAGTGCATGGCTGTACAAGTCTTCCCATTTTTCCCACGTTCTTGTCAATACAGGATATAATATAATGAGGCTTTGAAAATTTCTGCCATCTGCTGGGTAAAAAGAAATTTTTCATTGTTGTATTAATTTGTATGTATATAATAAGTATTGAGGATAAACATTTTTTCATATACTTACTGGTCATTAACATTTCCCCTATGAATTCACTGTTTATGTCCTTAGCCATTTTTCTATAGCATCGTTTATCTTATTGATCTGTAGAATGTTAACATATTCTAGCTAACAATTCGGATACATGTTACAAATATCTTCTGCTAGCCTGCTGCTTTACTTTTCATTTGGTTGGTTTCTTTTGTCCTACAAAAATTTCAAGTTTTGATGTAGTCAAATTAATACCTGTTTTCCTTTACAGTATGTGTTAAATATCACAAAGGAATTCAGAAATATTTAGAAATGAATTACAATAAAAATGCAACATGTCAGACATGTGTGACACAGCTAAAATAGTACTTAGTAGTAAGGAAATGAAAGGTTTCAAAATAAACAAGCTAAGAATTCAATTCCTGAAGATGGACGAAACAACAGAGCAAATCCAAAGAAACAAGGAAGGAAATAATGAAAAGCAGGAAAAATTAAATAAGGAAGGCCGTATCGTGCCAGAGAAGACTCAAAAGAGTGTCAAGATTGCTCCTGGAGCAGCTGTATGTGTAGAAAGTGAAATCGGAGGAGATATAACTATGGGACCCAGGACACTGATCCACCCTAAAGCACGAATTATTGTGGAAGCCAGGACAATAGCGATTGGTGAAAGTAACCTAATAGAAGACAGGCCTTTATCATAAATGCTCACCCAGATAATATCACTCCTGACACCAAAGATCCAGAACCCAAACCTATGATGATTGGCACCAATAATGTGTTTGAAGTTGACTGTTATTCCCAAACCATGAAAATGGGAGATAATAATATCACTGAATCAAAAGCATAATGTAGGCAGAAATGTAATATTGACTAGTGGTTGCATCACTGGGGCTTGTCGCAACTTAAATACTTTTGAAATCACCCCAGAGAATATGGTGATCTATGGTGCAGACTGCCTTCGTCGGGTGCAGACTGAAGGATCACAGCCCCAGACACTACAGCTGGATTTCTTGATGAAAATCTTGCCAAATTACCACCATCTAAAGAAGACTATAAAAGGAAGCTCAACTCCATTTAAGAACTGAGAACAACGTATGATGTCAAGATAACACTTCGTCTCTGACCACCATCTTTTGAAAGGGCCATGGTGTTGGTGTACTCTTAGCAGCTCACAGAACAATACATGTTGACTTATTTTATGAAGCTGAGTTAGAGAGGAAAGTAATGGATTTTCATTTTAACTATCCTCTATAATTTATGTAAAATGTATTATTTTCCTATATCCTTCCTTCTTTTAAGATAATTTACAGATTTAGTTTTTCTTTTGTTATATATACTATTAGCCACAAACTTCAGTTATGTAAAATATTACCCGTGATAAGGGCATATTGTTATGTGTTTATATTCTAGTGTATTCTAAACTAAATAAAAATGCTGATGACAGGAAAAAGAATTAAATAAGGAACAATAATTTTAAAAAATA